TCCAGCACATCAAAGATCTACAACCTATCCTGAAAGATGATCCCTCACTCTCACAGATCTTGGGAGACAAACCTGTCCTCGCTTACAGACAACCCCTCAACCTAAAGCAAATACTCACCAGCAACCACACAACACTGAACAAAAACACTGACCCAGGAACCTATCCTTGTAACAAAGCCCGATGCCAACTCTGTCCACATATCTATTCAAGTGACATCATCATAGGACCTAATCACATCAGCCATACCATCAGGGGCTCGTTCACCTGCACATCTACCAGTGTGATATATGCCATCATGTGCCAGCAATGCCCCTCTGCCATGTACATTGGCCAAACCGGACAGTCTCTACGCAAACAAATTAATGGACACAAATCTGACATCAGGAATCATAATACTCAAAAACCAGTGGGAGAACACTTTAACCTGTCTGGCCATTGAATGACAGACCTGCGGGTGGCTATCTTACAACAGAAAAAAATTCAAAAAACAGGCTCTAAGGAGAGACTGCTGAGCTGGAATTGATATGCAAACTAGATACAATCAACTCAGGATTGAATAAGGACTGGGAATGGCTGAGCCATTACAAACATTGAATCTATCTCCCCTTGTAAGTATTCTCACACTTCTTATCAAACTGTCTGTACTGAGCCATCTTGATTATCACTTCAAAAGTTACTTAATTAGCCTCTCAGAGCTGGTAAGACAATTCCCACGTGTTCATGGCGTGTGTGTGCGCTCAATATATGTTCCATTCGATATGCATCTGAAGAAGTGGGCTGTAGCCCACGAAAGCTTATGCTCTAATAAATTGGTTAGTCTCTAAGGTGCCACAAGTACTCCTGTTCTTTTTGCAGATACAGACTAACACGGCTGCTACTCTGAAACCTGTCATCCTTTAAATTCACTTTAACCACAGAATAGAGAGATATCTGTATTAGTACTCTATCATCATCCAAATTCCTCACCCCATCTACCTTACTCCCAAATTAAAAATCAGGACTTTTTGTTGCAGGAAAACAAATGTCCAAACAGAATTTGTACACGGAGAGGAACACACTCATTTTTATGGTGGTTCAGAGGCAAGGGTAGAAATCCACCCTGGGTGTGGGGGGTGGAGAAATAGTGTTTGGAAATATCTGCCATTGGGTGCATTCCAAAGTACTGTCTCTTCCTGAGTCCCTTTATGCGCCAGAGATAAGTCATCCTCAGCGGAGTTTGTTCAGCAGGATCCCAAGGGGGCAACTAAAAGGCCCACTAGGCAGAGGGAAGTCTCCTGCCACTTGAATTCCAATAGTGCTGGTTAAACTAGTTCCTCGAGTTTGCAAGGCACATACACACCCACCCACCCTCATTCATTATTTCAGACTATAATTCTTCAGTCACTTTTGCAAAAATTCCATCTTGCTTCTCACTTTCTATGCCTTGTGCCACCCCACCAACTTGACATCCTTAGTTAAGCAATGGGTAGGGAAGGCTATATTCTTACCCCAGCCAACATCTTAGTTCACCTCCACTTGGAAAGTGCCACCTAATGGGTTTCTTCCTCTAGCAGAGAAGGAGGAGGCTTCTGGGCTCAGTCTTTCAAAATTGCCAAGCGAGCACACGCAACCAGTATCATATGGGTGCAAGCAAGCTTTCCATCCGAGATGGATCCAGATTGCACCAGCTCAAGGCCCAGGTTGCTAGGCTGCTCTCCAGATCCCTAGCACTTCCAATGCAACTCGCTTCCTTAACACCCCTGATTGAGCATTGCAGTGGCACACTGAACGTAATGCCAGCAGGCAGGAAAAATGTGAAGCTGCAGCTTGTTTGATCTACGCTGCCTCCCAAGTGACCCAGATTTCCTCAGCTGTACCCTCTGTTTAGGGAGGGTGATCGCCTCTATTCCCCCATAGCAGCATGATCTCACGGGCCACTAGCCCAATGCCCCATTAAGTGGGCTGGTGAATAGCAAGGCCTTTAAGACATGCACCAAGAAGGAGATGCTCTCAGCATCCTTAGGGATTTTTGATCAGTTGTAGCAATGGGCCCATTTGAGAGAAGGGACCCAGGCACCAGCATTCAACAGAAGACTTCGCTCCTCTCACATCCCTGTAGTTTTGCTCCAAGCCATGTATCAGATCTATTTTACAGGCTTAGTTGTGCAGTGTTTACTTGTGCAAGCAGGTCGACAGCAGACTCAGGACCAGGAGTCAAATCCTGGGTCCCAGTCCCATCCCTAACCACTAAGCCATGTTTAGAACCCAGGAGTCCTTAAATCCTGGGCCTTGCCCTCAGCACACAGGCACTCATTCACAAAGGAGCTCCAGCAATAGGTTATTCTGCAGAGGTACAGGGGTATCAGGATAGCATGGCAAGGGGGAAAGCCTTTCTCCCTCCATCACAGCCCCCTTAAGTTTGGGCTACAGAACAGATGTATCTATATGCATTTCAGTTAAACTTATGAGGGCTGATCACGAGAGGTCCCAGGAACATGGAAGCTTTTTGCAGGCTGCTATCAGCATCCCAGGCAGGACTTGCCAGCAGCGATTACTCATCATCAAAAAAGTCTATTTATCCCTTGTGTTACAGGGATGAAGCCAGAGAGGAAGTTTTAGGCTGTGTATGTAATGACAGCAGGACCAGGTGGTAGTTAGCCCAATTCATGGGCTCCCACTGCAAACAGGGCCTTAAAGAAATAGACCAAGACAGATACAGACCGTATATTTAAAGTCAGTGCCTCACCAAGCAAGAGCAAAATCACCATTGCCACCAGTTTGTGGGTTGTTCTGGTTGATCCATTTTGGCCTCCTCCCACATCTCATAGTCAATGGCGTGTGCCTGCCCCACAACCAGCCTTTCAGTCACCCTCAGGTAGGGAGCTACATATCAACCAAGACTTGAAAAGATAATTAGAGATTTCCAAGACACCACAGTGAAAGGGTGGGGAGGAGACAGGACCAAATACATGTCCCTTCTAGGGCTCTCTGAACTGGCATAGGCCCCCCTCCACCCAGTTCTGATGCACCAGCTTCCTTCTCCCTATTAACCCTATTCCAGGCAATCCATTTGCAGAACCCCATACAATTAACAAAACACTGCTCTGATTGAAAATTCAGAGGATGTTGAGCAAAGGATGGCTTATGAGTAGGTCTAGGGGAAGGCAGTATTATTCTGAAGGTCGAGGGTAAGGTTACTAGTGAGAAACGTTCAGAAGGTTCGGTTAGTGCCTAAGCATAGGACACACAACATCCTAGTTACAGCAGCAGTGCTCCAGATAAAGTTATAGTGATAAACATAAAATTATATGCACCCCTCACCAGCTTTCTACATTGCAAGCACTTTACATCTAGTTTAGAAACACCTTTAGGATTTCAAACCCTTACTGGTGGATTCTCCCCCCTTTTTAAAGCACTTAAAACTGAAACATGTAATCTAGATACTAGTTTTCTTTGCAGTAGCCCCACATACATAGACAATCCCATACCCTAACCAGCAGTTAGCCCTACTCCCTCTGTAAAATATGCACTATAAACATAGGGAGAAATGTACTCCCATGTATCCTCCTGACTAAGGGAGGAAAGGAGGAATCTGACTGAAGAAAGTTAGAGGAAAGACCATTGCTTTCACTGTTTATAGGTGCAGAGTTCCCCCACTATAATGTGCCATGATTTTTGTTTTTAAAGCATTCCAAGTTTCGAGCTGGGAAAAATCCAGTCCCTGCTGTTTTTATGCTCTCCTTTTAGATTTCTAAAAAGAATCAGCACTACCCCCAATTGATTTACATATCTGAAAAACAGAAAAGCTGTCAGCTGTAAATGCAATCCAATCCCAAACCCCTCCAGGACAATGAAATCTTGGGGGTGGGAAGGATTATTAAAGAAAGGCCTCAGCCTCTCTAGTCATAGTAAATGGAACAGCTTTCAAAAGGGAAAATAAAGACATGGCAATCTTACCTTCAGCCAGCACTTCATCCACCGTCACCTGGTATCTCCCAATATGGAACACCCTGCCAATGTACCCACTCCCTGCCACTGTATTACTGCCACTTCCTCCACTGGTACCAGAACCAGGGCCAGAACCGCCCTGCTCTCGACGAGAGTCAAAAAACTTCTTCATCTCTCCAGAGAAATAATTGTATTATGATTAAAGGTGATGTTGTCAAGGTCCAATTTTTTCCCCCCTTCTTGATTCCAGCCAATAAAAATAATCCACTCCTAGTGGTGATTTTTTTTTGGGGGGGGGGGGGTTGTTTGTTTGAAGTAGGGCAGATGCTTTTTTTCCCTCCTGCCAGGCAGAGCTGGTCAGATTTAGACCTGTAAGGATCATATAAAAACAAAGAAGGACAAACGATTACAAACCCTTGGCAAATAATCAGAAAAATAAATAAAACCCTTGTCAGATGTTCCCACCATTCCCCTAAACATAAACTCACAAGCAAGATGGAATTAATCACCCAGCCCCCAAAAGCATTGCAAGCAGTTGATTATATACGGATGATGTACCTCTTCCTGGGCAGCTAATAAATCCATGTAACCCGCCCCCCACCTACTTACCTACCTAGGTGCTAAAGGGGCGGCTGTCCCAGCACTTTGCTGCAAATAGGCTGGAGCTAGCAGTTTAGCCACAGTGTTACCATTGCTACAGCCTCTCTGCTGGTCCTGGATGGAACATGGTTATAAGGTAACATTGCCACTTAAAGGAGGCAAACAGCAGCTGATAACCAGAGACCATTACAGGGCTGATCTGACTCCAACCCCCACCTCTCCTCCAGCTCCATCCAACCAGGAAATGAACTGTCACAGGAAGTCCCTGCTTCAATCAGGGTGGGTGGAGTGGGGAGATGGTGCATGGGTGATTTCCCATCCTCTCCCCAAAGCTGTTCTTTTTAACCCCTTAATCCCTAGCAGTATTCTCCCTCCCGCCTCCACAATAGATTTCAGCTGAAAAAAAACGAAAGGCTGGTGGAGAGGAAGGGGGCTGAGGGTGGTTTAGAGCCAAAATTAAAGCAGCAGCCGAATAAAGTGGACATCAAAGAGTGTGGTGTTTTTTTTAAACTGCAACAGACCTGCTCTGTCGCATGGCGTTCTGGGAGTGGTAGTTCTCCCAGGTGACTGCCCAAGCCAGCTGTGCAAGGAGAGGGACTACAATTCCCAGAATGCACCAGGAGAGGAGCTGGAGGGGTTGGCGTAAAGCGTGATATGATGCGTTTAGTTGTCAACCTTATTCGGTGCCCCCTTGGCTGGGTGGCTGAGGTGATGGAGCCTGGGCTGCAGGATGATGGGTTTGATTAATAACATCATCTTAATAAAATTTTTAAATCTGTTCTTATTAAAGAAATCACCCCCGCTCCTTCCCTCACTGGCTTGCCGCAAGGGCGCCTGGGAGTTGTAGTTTCTCTGTACCCTATGAAAGCCGCAAGAGGGACATCATGATCCTGTCCAGAAGAGCAGAGCACCCAATAATGTTCTCCAGTGGAGCTGATTTCCTGACCCCCCTGTCACCCTCGCTTGGTAGGAGTTTATATACTCAGCCTCCTTAAACAGTCAGCCAGCTGCTTAAGCAAAACAAACAGGCTCTTCTGGGAAAAACGGGGCTAGGCCTTAGCCATGTTAGTTGTTTGCATTAACTGTGCTTTTCTAAAACAAATTTCACTGTAATGATAATAAATATTCAGTGCTGTGGGACTCTCGCGATTGTCTCGGGAGTTTCCGGATGTTCTGGGGGGTTTCATTAAAACCCCCATTCCTGGGAGTGTGTGATTTGGAGAGAATCTCACTCTTTTTGTTTTTAATGGAAGCTAAGTTGCTCAGCTTCCCGACGGCAGAGAAAAGCGTGAAGACGGGACCTGACTGTGCTCCAAAAGCTCAGAAGCCAGGAGGCAAATAAAAAGAATCCAATGTTTATTATTTTTAATCTCATGATTTTTAAGCCAATTTCATGGGTTTTTTTGGAAACCTGGTTTATGAATGTTTGGGGTTGGCAAAACTGATTATTTATTATTCTGTAATTTCTTTTTCATAGAATCACCAGAGTTAAAGGCCAGAAGGGACCACCAGATCACCTTGTCTTGCCTTTATATCAGCGGCCACTTTCTCCTCTATCCCCTTCCCCAAGCAAGGCATGGTGCTTGGGGAACTTCACAATGACCTCAGTCTTGCAAAGTGCTGATCACTGGGTGCTCAGCTCTGTTCAGGATTGGGCCTGCAGTCCTGGCACACCTCAAATGCCCATTGATTTAATTGGATTGATTAGTGCATAAACCCTAATACTAATACCCAACCCTAATACTCTGTGATTCTATGATAAATGCTTTAGGATTGGAGCCCTCAGACTTGCTTCCATGTTGTACCCCTTTGTTGGTCTTGTATATTTAGACTGCAATCCTGCAATGGGCTCCACACAGGCAGCAGAAATGGCAGTCCAAACCATTCAAAACTCATGAATCGTGTTTCAAAAAATCACGATACTGCCTTAGGAATCATGAGATTTTTTTTAATCCTTGAGCCTTTAGATCTCACAACTTCACAACTGTTCTCTGCATCCATGAGGGCTAAAAACTTACTTTAAAAAAAAAAAAGAAAGCTGAAATTCTCATGTAATCACGTGACTCCCAGAGCTGAGGCTTTAAGAAAAATGAGATTGTCGTGAGAGTTGGCAGCACTGCAGCTGGCCCCTATGGAGCTTAGTGCATAGCTTGGGATGTAGTGTATGAGCCAAAGTCAGATGAAGTCAGTGGAAAGATTCCCATTGATTTCAATGGGCTTTGGATCGGGCCCTTTAAGGCAGTGGTTCTCAAACTTTTGTACTGGTGATCTCTTTCACACAGCAAGCCTATGAGTGTGACCCCCCCTTATAAATTAAAAACAAATTTTTTATATTTAACATTATTATAAATGCTGGAGGCAAAGCAGGGTTTGGGGTGGAGGCTGACAGCTCACGACCCCCCAGGTAATAATCTTGCAACCACCTAAGGGGTCACGCCTCCCAGTTTGAGAACCCCTGCTTTAAGGTATGTCTACATTAAAGCTGGGATGTGTGACTCCCAGCACAGGTATACAGACTCACGCTAGCACACTAAAAATAGCTATGTAGTCTCTGTGGCTCAGGCTAGCTGCCCAAGCTTGGACCTGGGAATCAGACAGGCTTGGATTTAGGGGGCTACCCCAAGCCACCACCCATGCCACAACATCCGTGCTGCTATTTTTAGCATGCTAGCTTGAGCAAAGCTAGCGCATGTCTGCTACCCAGGAGGGAATCACTTTTACCACTTTTAGTGCAGACGTAAGCTATTTGGGACAGGGTCTTTAGCACAATGGAGCCACCATTGATTAGGCACCATCAGAATATAAACAAACAGTAGTACAGAACTGAGTTTACAAACCTATGCTTTGCTATTGCAAATAGGTTCCTTCCAAGCCCCCAGCCTTACTCATCTAAGGCTCAATGAGGCCTTGCATGGTGGGAGTAGGATGGTGTGGCACCAGGCTTTCTGAGAGCTCCTGGAATATAGAGGGAGCTGCCTGTGAATTAAGATTTATTGGGGCCCTGGACAGAAAGAACATTTGGGCTCCCTACACCCTGGGGGTCTAGGGATGTTGGGAGCCGGGGGAGCCATGGCCCACCCACTTTTTAACATGGGTGTAGTAGCCTCGGGCAGGCACGGAGTGGCAGTGGCAGGGGCTGTGCTTTGCGGCAGAGGAAGTGATCAGCTCCCGCGCCGCGAAGCGCAGCCCCTGCTAGCAGCGCCAGCCTCTTCCCGCTGGGAGCCTGGACCACTGTGGAGAGCCCCAGATCCTCCACCTGCCCTGGGCGGCACGTGCTAGGAAGTGGGGGGACAGGCCAGGGGCTGCTCTTGGGAACCCTCACACTCCAACGCCCAGGGCAGGTGGAGGCAGGGCTGGATTTAGGGGCAGGTGACCAGGGCTGGATTAACCTTTTGTGGGCCAGGCATCAAACTTATTTGTGGGCCCCCCATGGGAGCAATGTAGCATGGCGTGGGAAGGTCAGTCCACAGAATGAGGGGCCAGCCAGGGACAATGGGACATGGCATGGCAGGGGCGGCCCAGCTCCGCCCAGCCCAGTGTGAGGGCACTATTTACAAACCGGCAATTGCCAGACGCACAGTGGCCTGCCTGGCCCTGTGCTGCCAGCGTGTCCCTTCCCCTCGGGGGCAGGCCCGTGCTGCACCACACTGCCCTCCACAAAAAAAATCCTCCTGACTCCCTATGGCCAGAGCCGCCCTAGACCCACTATACCCAGCACCCCCCCAACCCTTTCCACACAAATGCACAACACCACTCCTGCCCAGCGCCCCCTGCCCACAGCCCCACCACAACTGCCCAGCACCCCATACAGAACCTCCACTCCCTAGTGCCCAACATATACATCTTCTCCGCCCCCTCACAGCCCAGCACCACCCCCACAAAAAACCCACTCCCCCACACCCTGCCTCCCGGCCGCACTCACCAGCCCTGCTGGGAGGTGACTGTGTCTGCCAGGCTGAGCCAGCGGCGCAGCCAGGGCTGGTCCCAGGGTCGTGAATCATTCCGGCCCCTCAGGAGTGGTGCGATCAGCCAGGCCAGGGCCTACCCCTGCCCAGGCTCTCTCAAGACACACTTCCCCCGGAAGGGCCCAGCCAAGGTCCCCGCAGTGTCGTCCCCCCCCCCCCCCCCCCCCC